ATGTTTAATAACAGAGCAATTAGAACATAAAAATTTAATTTTATACATCACAGATTGCTATTTACAAACAGGGCATGTTAAAAGCAGAAAAAAGAACACTTTGTTGAAGTTATATACTTATTTAGGCTATAAAATGATGCCAACACATAATGCCAGGTTGCAAGGCATGGAAGATAGGAAATGAGAGATGATTGCCTAAAGCAATCATCTCAAATGATTATCTTTTCATGTCAAAAGGTATAAATTTACCTTTTGACATGAAAAAAATACTTTGTGTCTAGACAGTGGTAGTAGTGGCACAACATCTCAAGTGTATTAAATACTAATGAATTATACACATTAAATGGGTAAAGTGTACAGTTTTGTGATGTGAAACTTCTATATCAATTACTTTTTAAATAAACAAGTGGCTGACCAGATTTGACCAAGGGACCACAGTTGGTCAGCTCTTGTTTATGCTACAAATTTAACTCCTACATGCTTGAAGTAGTAAATGCTGTTATTTTTATTATTTACATTAGAAACATGTTTTGAAATTATATTATGCAATTATATGAACAATAAAATTATTATTATGAAAATTTTTTGGTTTGTTTAATGATAATGTGAATTTTATTTTGCAATACAAAAGATTGTTTTAGTGCTTTGCAATATTATTCCATTCATTCTTTCAGCAACCCCTTGATATTGATAATGCTCTGACAACCACTGCCATTTCATTGTTGAGGAAGCTGAGGCAAATAAAATGCAAGTAACTTGTCTAACCCCACATCACTTTGTAGTGGTTTCCAAGACTTGAATCTAGCCATCTGAACCACCAGCTCTTAACCACCATGTTATGTTGACTTTCCTATTTGGGGTACAGATATTTTCAAAATGTGGTTTCCCACTTACATAGATATATATTAATTGTAATTTTATTACAAATGTATAATTTAAAATATGTAGTATTATTATTCCAGGTATGTATCACTGCATAACAAATTGTTTGCAAATTAGGGCCTTAAAACAACTGTAATCATTTTACATCATCTCTCAGAGTCTGTGTGTTAGGTGAGCTCAGTTAACTCCTTCCACGGACTTTCTTAGGTAGCTACTTTCCTATGGTGTCTGGGTCTATAATTATCTGAAGATCATTCACTTTCATACTTAGTGATTGGTGTGGAAAAGCTCAAAGTGTTAGTGGGCTACCAGGAGTTCTTAGGTAGATATTTGTGTCTCTACCAAATTGTCGTTTATTATGGGGACTACATTTTGAATTGATGAGGTGTTGGTTAATGGTGAGAGAAAAACAGACATGAAAATAAACAGAAAGAGAGAAACAGAAACAGAGAGAGAACATGCTGTGTTTCCACAATAGCTTTGACATTTTAGCTGCATTATTTTCATTACATTTTTTTTTGTTAAGCCAGCTACAAAGTTTGACAAATTTCAAAAGGAGAGGATATTACTTTATAGGAAAATTGCCAATGTATTTATTGTGATGTCTCAAAATAACAAAAAATATAGCCTTTTGAAGAAGGCAGCAGAAGTTATTAAACTATTGTATGATTCATAAAATATTAAAAATAGTAAACTATATATTAAAATTGTATGAATTTATATTTCTACGATTACTGCAATTGAAAAATATTGTATTATATTTAATCACAGATATTTAAAAAATAGAATGAATCTTCTAAAAACAAGCTGCAAGTGGATAAAATAGATAATATATGAGAAATTTTATCAAGCTTTTGGAATGACACTAGTAAATTAATAATGAGATGTTACATTTTGGAGCTTCTTGTCTTGAATGGATGTGTTTATTCCACAAATTAAATTTTAAATCACATAATTAATATGTGAAAACATTGTGAAAAGTTAAACATTGCAGAATTGTATAGGATAAAAATATAAATTCTTATCCTTGAAATTACATGCATTTTTCAAGATTCTTTTTTGTATCAGTTTACATATATTTTATTTTACTGAAAAAAATACCTTTTGTTTTTCTGGAAGCTACTTCTTCTGTTTAGCAATGTGATAATCCACCTGCTCTCTGCAATGACTATACTCATATATTTGTTGGAGGTATATGTTTTCATTGACTGAAAGCTATTTAACTGCTGGAGGAATCATTCTGTTCATACATGTGCTTATCTGCAAGGATTTCTGTATGACAGATTTCTAAATGTAGAACTTTAGTTTATAATGATATATTTACATTTCATTTAAAAGTATGATTTTAAATTATACTCCCTCTAAAGTAGAATTCTCAGGTTTTTAATAGAGTACTAATCTTCTCTATGGCATTAATGTGTTGGCATTATTTCTATTGTTCTGACCATCAGTAACTTTTTAATCTTTTATATCTTATTGGCCAATTTTACCTTGAATTGCTTGTTCATATTTTCATCAATTTTTATTAAATTTTCTGTTTTGGTAGGTGATGTGTAGTTCTCACGGAACAATGGATACCAATATTTTGTTATGCGTGTTGTAGCATAGGTTTTAGGTGAATTAATTCAGGTTTATAAGCATGATAAAAGAACACTATTAATCTTTGGCACTATGTAAGTTCTGTTTTTCTTTATATCTGTATCTATTCCTGGATGGTTTGTATGAAATATTGTTATAAACTCTTCCTGTAATTTCTCTAGCATCAAATGTTTGTGTGTGTGTGTGTGTGTGTGTGTATGTGTGTATGACATGATTTACCTATGTGTATATAACTACAAATATACATATATATGAAATATATATTAGTTTTTAATCATACCTTCTGCTGGAGAATACCTTTTGTAAGAATTGGTTAATGGTAAGACTTTGATCATAAAGTGCTTTCCTGATATGAAGATTAAAGGAGATCTATAGCTTAATTTAGATATTTTCCACAAAACTAATAAACTTTTTGTATTCTTTGTATGTATTTTTTGGCATGCTAAAAACTTTATGTTTCTATATTATATTTATAGGAGTGAAGGATCAAAAGACTATGGAAAATTATATGAAAAAAATTAGATATGATCATGTAAAGTATAGTTATGTAGAATAATAATTATTTCAAGTTGTCCTCAAAAAACATTGAATTTCACAACATATTTATTAGCTAGTTTAATGATGCTGTGTCTTGTTTTAAAAGAAATGGACATGTATATGTACATGCATGTTTAGCAAGATTGATAATTTACTAAGTCCTTTTAGAGTGCATTTCCTATATTATCACAACCTAAAATTAGGGATTTACATTTGTTATTAAAGGTCAAAAATTATAATAAACCCATATTAAATTCAAGATTTTTTCTAGTTCTGTTAAGAATGATGATGGTATTTTGATGCCAATTAAATTGGACTTACAGATTTATTTTGGCAATATGATCATTTTCACAAAATTGATTCTACCCATCCATGACCATGGGATGTATTTCCATTTGTTTGTGTCATCTATTATTTTTTTCAGCTGTGTTTTGTAGTTTTCTTTGTAGAAGTCTTTAATCTTCTTGGTTAAGTATATTCCTAAGTATTTTTCCCCCTTTTTGCAGCTATTGTGAAAATAGATGAGTTCATAATTTGATTCTCAGCTTTGAAACCTGCATAGCCAATGAAAGACTAAGAAAAAAGAACAAATCTGGAGGCATCACATTACCCAACTTCAAACTATATCAGAAGGCTATAGTTACAAAAACAACATGGTATTTGAATGAAAACAGGCAGGTAGATCAATGGAACAGAATAGAGAATCCCGAAATAAAGCCAAATACTTAACAGCTAACTGATCTTTGACAAAGCAAACAAAAACGTAAAATGGGGAAAGGGCACTTTATTCAACAAATGGGACTGGAATAATTAGCAATCCACATGTAGAAGAACGAAACTGCATCCTCGTGTCTCACCTTATAAACAGTCAACTCAGAATGGATCAAATAATTAAATCTAACATGTGAAACAATAAAAAATCTAGAAGATAACATTGGAAAAACTCTTCTTGGGTTGGACAAAAACCTTATCACCAAAAATCCAAAAGCAAATGCGACTAAAACAAAGATAAATAGTTGTGATTTAATTAAACTTAAAGCTCTGCTGGCAAGGAATAATCAGCTGTGTAAACAGAAACTCACAGAGTAGTGAAAAATATTCATGAACTATGCATCTGACAAAGAACAAATGTCAGGAATCTACAAAGAACTCAAAAAACTCCAAAGAGAAAAACCAATAACCCCATCAAAAAGTAGGCTATAGTCATGAATAGACAATTCTTAAAAAGAGGTATGTAAATGACTGACACATATGAAAAAATGCTCAACTTCACTAATTATCAGGAAAATTAAAAAGTTCCGCAAGAATGTCCATAAGTTAAAAATCCCAAAGTATACAATGTTGGCATGGATATGGTAAAAACACTTTTATGCTGCTGTGAGAATGTAAACTAGAATTTACTAGTTTACATTCTCACAGCAGCATAGTGTTAATAAAATCAACCAGATGAATATTTTTAAACATCTAGAAAAAGTAGAACTGGCTCATGAAAGCAAAGATATTGTAAAATAGTTCAGTGTTACAGAAAGGAGATAAGAGTTGCTATATTTCTAATCTCACATAATTTCCAATGGGAAAGACTTAAGCACTACAACAGTAAACATTTTGCCATAAGTTTTAGAAAAAGTACCACAATAAAGCTGCATGCATTATAAAAGCTAAGCAACACTACTCATTCCAAAATATCAAAAGGACGAGAGAGACTTTTTATACAAAAGGATGAGAGAGATTTTTTATACAATTTAACTATGTAATAGTTTCTTTAGCAATTGTTAAAACAACAAAATCCTGTTCAAAATGAAGCCAAAGTATTCTGAGTATGTGCAAAGCAGTACTGATATTGTCAGTGGACTTCTTACTGTTCTTGTGTTTATGTAGAATGTATAATATAGTTAAGTTGAAGAAAAATTTTTTCCTTTAACCTATGAATTAAAACAGCAAATTTCAATATAAGTACAACAAATTTCAATATAAGCTCATATGGCTTTATATTATTTTTTAATTTTCCCTAGTGTTTTCTTCATTGCCACAAAGTATTTCTAACCATTAACTGGGTGGTAAACTTCTGAAAAACAAATTTTTACTTGACAAAAGTAAAAAAATTTTCAAGTAGGTTTTGAAAAGATTTTTTTTTTTTTTTTTTTTTTTTTGTCACAGGGAGGAAAACATCTTGCATCACAATCTTTCTTGCTGGAATTAACTGAAGTAGTCCCATCAATCAGATTTTCCAGCTCAAGCCTTAGCTATAACTAATCCTTTTTAACCTTCTTTCCTGTTCTAGCAGACTTCCAGAAACAAAACAGACAACATTTTGTGATGATGAATATCACAGTTGCCACACTGGCCAGCAGGAACCTGATCACATCCAAAGAGTGGTACTGGAACCAGGTGAGGTTGTGGGCTGCAACCTGAAGAAGCTTGGCTCCTTTGTGGCGCATGACGAATTCAATCCAGAAGACTGCTTGATTCAGGGGCTTCACTGGTTGATCATGTTGAATATTTGATAATTTCATAACTTTCTCTTTATATCTGAATGATAAAAATAAAGATACTAACACTAAAAGTAAGTTATATGAAGTCCTTGAAAGGTTTGAAACTGTCAAATGATTCAAAGTAAATGTCAAAATATTGACATAGAATTTGTGTATTTTAATTTGAGTAATCAGAGAAAGTTTGGCCTTTACACTGACCTTTTCTCATTGACAAATTAAAAAATATATATTAATTATACTTTAAGTTCTGGGGTACACATGCAGAATGTGCAGGATTGTTACATAGGTATACATGTGTCATGGTGGTTTGCTGCATCTATCACCCCATCAACTACATTAGGTATTTCTCCTAATGCTGTCCCTCTGCAATCCCTCCAATCCCTGCCATCTCTCCCTAGCCCACCACCCTCCAACATGCCCCAGTGTGTGATATTCCCCTCCTACCTATGAGTGAGATCATCAGTGTTTGGTTTTCTGTTCTTGTGTCAGTTTGCTGAGAATGATGGTTTTCAGCTTCATCCATGTCCCTGTAAAGGATATCAACTCATCCTTTTTTATGGCTGCATAGTATTCCATGGTGTATATGTGCCACATTTTCTTTATCCAGTCTAGCATTGGTGGGCATTTGGGTTGGTTCCAAGTCTTTGCTATTGTGAACAGTGCCATAGTGAACAAACGTGTGCATTATCTGTATAATAGAATAATGTATAATCTTTTGGGTATTTACCCAGTAATGGGATTGCTGGTTCAAATGGCATTTCTAGTTCTAGATCCTTGAGGAATCACCACACTATCTTCCACAATGGTTGAACTAATTTGCACTCCCACCAACAGTGTAAAAGTATTCCTATTTCTCCACATCCTCTCCAGCATGTGTCTCCTGATTTTTTAATGATTGCCATTCTAACTGGTGTGAGATGGTATCTCAATGTGGTTTTGATTTGCATTTCTCTAGTGACCAGTGATGATGAGTTTTTTTTTCATGTTTGTTGGCTGTATAAATGTCTTCTGAAAACTGTCTGTTCATATGCTTCAGCCATTTTTTGATGGGGCCATTTGTTTTTTTTTCTTGTAAATTTGTTTAAGTTCTTTGTAGATTCTGGATATTAGCCCTTTGTCTGTTGGTTGACAGTTCGCTCTAATGATAATTTCTGCTGCTGTGCAGAAGCTCTTAAGTTCAATTAGATCTCATTTGTCTACTTTGGGCTTTTGTTGCCATTACTTTTGATACTTTAGTCATGAAGTTCTTGCCCATGGCTATGTCCTTAATGGTACTGCCTAGGTTTTCTTCTAGGGATTTTATGGTGTTAGGTGTTATGTTTAAATCTTTAATCCATCTGGAGTTAATTTTTTATAAGGTGTAAGGAAGGAATCCAGTTTCAGCTTTCTGCATGTGGCTAGCCAGTTTCCCAACACCATTCATTAAATATGGAATAATTTCCCCATTGCTTGTTTTTGTCAGGATTGTTAAAGATCAGATGGTTGTAGATGTGTGGTGTTATTTCTGAGGTCTGTGTATGGTTCCATTGGTCTGTATTTCCGTGTTGGTACCAGTACCATGCTGTTTTGATTACTGTAGCCTTGTAGTATAGTTTGAAGTCAAATAGTGTGGTGTCTCTCACTTTTATTTATTTATTTTTTTCTTAGAATTGTCTTGGCTACTCAGGCTCTCTTTTTTGGTTCCATATGAAGTTTAAGGTGTTTTTTATAATTCAGTGAAGAAAGTCAATGGTATCTTGATGGGAATAGCATTGAATCTATAAATTACTTTGGGCAGTATGGTCATTTTCATAATATTGAATTTTTCTAACCATGAGCATGGAATGTTTTTCCATCTGCTTGTGTCCTCTCTCATTTCCTTGAGCATAATTATGTGGATTTTTTCTTTGCTTCTGTTTATGTGATGAATTACATTTATTGATTTGCCTATGTTGAACCAGCCTCACATCCCAGGGATGAAGCCTACTTGGTGGTGATGGATAAGCTTTTTGATGTGCTGTTGGATTCGGTTTGCCAGTATTTTATTGAGGATTTTTGCATCCATGCTCATGGATATTGGCCTGAAATGTCCTTTTTTAGTTGTATCTCTGCTAGGTTTTGGTATCAGGATGATGCTGGCATCATGAAATGAGTTAGGGAGGATTCTCTCTTTTTTTACTGTTTGGAATAGTTTCAGAAGGAACAGTACCAGATCATCTTTGTACCTCTGTACAATTCAGCCATGAACTTGCCTGGTCCTGGACTTTTTTTGGTTGCCAGGCTCTTAATTGCTGCCTCAATTACAGACCTTGTTATAGATCTATTCAGAGATTCAACTTCTTGGGAGGGTGTAAGTGTCTAGGAATTTATCCATTTCTTCTAGATTTACTAGTTTATTTGAATGGGGTTGTTTGTAGTAATATCTGATGGTGGTTTGTATTTCTGTGAGATCAGTGGTGACATTGCCTTTATCATTTTTTATTGCATCTATTCGATTCTTCTCTTTTCTTTTTTGTTAGTCTGGCTAGCAGTCAATCTATTTTCTTGATCTTTTCATAAAACCTGCTGCTGGATTTATTGATTTTTTAGGGTTTTTTTTTCTGTCTCTATCTTTTTCAGTTCTGGTCTGATCTTAGTTATTTCTTGTTTTCTGCTAGCTTTTGAATTTGTTTGATCTTGCTCCTTCAGTTCTTTTAATTATGATGTTAAGGTGTTGATTTTAGATCTTTCCTTGCTTCTCTTATGGGCATTTAGTGCTACAAATTTCCCAGTAGACACTGCTTTCAATGTGTCCCAGAGTTTCTGGTACATTGTCTTTGTTCTCATTGGTTTTGAAGAACATCTTTATTTCTGCCTTCAATTTATTATTTATCCAGTAGCCATTCAGGAGTAGGTTGTTCAGTTTCCATGTAGTTGTGTGGTTTCGAGTGAGTTTCTTAATCCTGAGTTCTAATTTAATTGTGCTGGGTCTGAAAAACAGTTTGTTATGATTCCCGTCCTTTTGCATTTGCTGAGGATTGTTTTGTTTCCAATTATGCAGCCAATTTTACAATAAGTGTGATGTGGCACTGAGAAAAAAATGTACATTCTGCGGATTTGGGGTGGAGAGTTCTCTAGATGTCTATTACATTCACTTGATCCAGATCTGAGTTTAAGTCCTGCATATCCTTGTTAATTTTATGTCTCATTGATCTGTCTAATATTGATAGTGGAGTGTTAAAGTCTCCCACTATTATTGTGTGGAAGTCTAAGTCTCTTTGTAGATCATTAAGAACTTGCTTTATTTATCTGGATGCTCCTTTATTGGGTGCATATATATTTAGGATAGTTAGCTCTTCTTGTTGCATTGATCTGTTTACCATTACGTAATGCCCTTCTTTGTCTTTTTTGATCTTTGTTGGTTTAAAGTCTGTTCTATCAGAGATGAGGATTACCACCCCTGTTTTTTTTTCCTCTCCATTTGCTTGGTAAATCTTCCTCCATCCCCTTACTTTTAGCCTATGTCTGTTTTTGCACATGAGATGGGTCTCCTGAATATAGCACACCAATGAGTCTTGACATTTTATCCAATTTGCCAGTCTGTATATTTTGATTGTGGCATTTAGCCCATTTCCATTTAAGATTAATATTGTTATATGTGAATTTGCTCCTGCCATTTTGATGCTAGCTGGTTGTTTTGCCCATTAGTTGATGCAGTTTATTCATAGTGATGATGGTCTTTACAATATGGTATGTTGTTGCAGTGGCTGGTACTGGTTCTTCCATTCTATGTTTAGCACTTTCTTCAGGAGCTCTTGTAAGGGAGGCCTGGTAGTGATGAAATCTCTCAGCAGTTACTTGTTCATAAAGGATTTTATTTCTCCTTTACTTATAAAGCTTATTTTACTGGATATGAAATTCTGGGTTGAAAATTAATTTCTTTATGGATGTTGAATATTGACCCCCACCCTCTTCTGGTTTGTAGAATTTCTGCCAAGAGATCCCACTGTGAGTCTGATGGGCTTCCCTCTGTGGGTGACCTAACCTTTCTCTCTGGCTGCCCTTAGCATTTCTTCCTTCATTTCAACCCTTGTGAATCTATGGATTATGTGCCTTGGGGTTGCTCATCTCAAGGAATTTCTTTGTGGTGTTCTCTGTATTTCCTGAATTTGAATGTTGGCCTTCCTTGCTTTGTTCAGGATATCCTCCTGGATAATATCCTAAAAAGTGTTTTCCAACTTGGTTTCATTCTCCTCGTCACTTTCAGGTACACCAATCAAATGTAGATTTGGTCTTTGCACATAATTCCATATTTCTTAGAGGCTTTGTTCATTTCTTTTCACACTTTTTTTCTCTAATCTTGCCTTATCACTTTATTTCATTGAGTTGATCTTCAATCTCTGACATTCTTTCTCCAACTTAATTAATTCAGCTATCGAAATACTAACTGGAATAACCAGCATAGAGAAGAACATAAACAACTTAATGGAGCTGACAGATATTTTTAAAGTAGAAATGGAAGGTCAGGTGAGAAAATTAATTTCTATCATGCAGAGAAAATATAAGTCTTCTCAAATTTTTTACTTTTTAAATTTTAACTTTTTGCAGGTATGTGGTAAGTATATATATTTATGGGGTACATGAGATGTTTAGATGCAATATGAAACAATCACATCATAGCAAATAAGATATTCATCCCTTAAGCATTTCTCTTTTGTGTTATGAACAATCCAATTACACTCTTAGTTCTCAAATAGGCATATGAGAATGTGCTCAACATCATGAGCCATTTTGAGTACTGGTAGAAAGATTGTGAAAATGCAATGTGAAAATTATCACCTCTAAGTTGTTCAAAAGGAATTGTTTCATGGTGAGTAACACGTCTCCATAGATAGTCACTTTGCTTCCACTCTACTCTTTTGTCTCCGAGTGTTTCCCACCCAGTAGCCAGAATAATCTTTTGAAATAAAGGTCCAATTGTGACACTTCCTTGATTAAGATTTTTGCCTGGCTTCTCATTATTTTAAGAATAAAATCCCAGTCTGTTATTTGGTCTACAGACCCCACATTGTTAGACGCTGGCAAGCTCTTTTCTTAACACTTTTCCCCTGCACATTGCCTTCTAGATTGATCTTCTATTTACTTTAAGCTCCCAAAGCTGTTCTGATCACAGCACCTTACACATTTTGTCCCCTTTCCAGCTCTTGGAGCACTCTTTCTTGCTACTACCAAAGACACGCTTCTCTCCCTTTTTGAGCCTTCCTTCTAAGTGTTACCTCTCAGAGAGGTTTTTAATGGCCACACTATGATGGAACCTCTAGCATTTTTTCTATTTTCTGTGCTTATTTGGCTATTTGATTCCTAGAATTTTAAAATACATTATATATCTCATAAAATAAACATTTAAATATTAAATATAAAACATAAATATACATACACTAAGTGAATAGCTAAAAAATGTAAGATAATTTTAAGCATTATCTTAAAGAAGATACCAATTTACCTACTGCTCAGATCATGGTATAAAATATCACATCCTGTCTAGAATAACTCTTTTTTTCGGACCCATTTAGTAACTACTTTTGTCCTTCAATTAAGTATTATGCTGACTTTGAACAGCATACATTAATTTTGCTTGTTTATGTAGTTGAATTTTATAATATGTACTCATTAGTGTTTTTTCTTTTAATGTAGGAGTTGTTTGGTAATTCCATTGCTGTGTAGTATTCTGTTGATTGATAAAGCATATATTACATCTTCATTTTATGATTAATAGACATTTGGGTTGCTAAATGTTTTCAACACTGATAATTCTGTTGTGAGCTTTCTTCTATATAGGATTAGATTTATATATTTATACACACCTGTTGTATATATAATTGAGAGTAGAATTGCTGAGATAAAAGAGTATGCATAATTATGATTTATTTTTTGACTTTAATTTTTTTAAAGTGTATTATTTTAATTTCCAAAACTTAAAGACATTTTAGTTATCATTTTTATAACCTCCCTTTTTTTCACTATGGGTGGATCATGTAGTCTTTATAATATTGAATCTTTTTATATTTATTAAGTCTTGATTTATGGCCCACCACATGTTACTTCAAATAACTATTAAATATTTGACATACTCTAGAAAAATGTGTCTTCAAGTTGATATATAAATGTATATATATGATACATGTGTGTGTATTGTATGTGTATATATGTGCATGTGTATGTATTATTTTACATTATAAGATTCCATTTGTTAATTGTATTCTTCAATTGTTTTATATCCTTGCTCATTGTTTGCTTTTTTAAAAAGTCTGTTTAGATTGAGTGAAAGTATTTGTATAATCACATTTAAATCTACCACTGTATTTTATATTAACTTTCTATTTGTCCAAGTTAGTTTATGTTTCTTTTCAATTATTTCCTATCTTACTTAAAGATATTTTTTATCATTTGCTATCTATTTTCTTTCTGATAAAGTATCTTTAAAGTTTTCCTTTAGATGATACCCCCTCCTTATATAAAACATTATTGATAGTAGTTACAAATGCTGAATTGATGGTAGCTGGACTGCAGAAGTCATTTTCCACATTGTTATCTTTGTGGTGTTAAGAAAATCAATTATCAAAAATATAACTTAAAATTTTTTTGTGCTTCTAAAATCATTCTAATAAAAGTAAAATGTTAGTTCACCCAAAATGAGACAAAATATTTAAAAATTACATATCAAATATGACATATAGTTATTAAAACTTAATAATAAGATAAATAGCAAAGTTTAAGAATGTTCCAAGGATTGGAGTAGACATATTTTCAAAGAAGATATATGAATGATTAGTAAGCACATATAAAAATTCTCAATTTCTTCAGCTGTAATGAAAAATGCAATCCAGGACCAGGATGAGAGATCGTTTTATACTCACTGAGAAGGCTGTAACAAAAAGACAAACAGGTTTACATCTGGATGAATTGGGTGGTGGTGATGAATGGAACAAGTACTTTGGAAAACAGTATAACGGTTCTTCATAAACAAACAGTTCCCACATGAGCCAGCAATTCCACCGATAGTATCAATCCAAAAGAAAGGAAAACATGTTTATGCAAAAATGTGTGCAGTAATGTTCATAAAAGTCACAATTGGAAACAATCGAAATACCAATGAACTGGTAAGTAAACAAATAAAACATGACATATCCGTACTGTAAAATATTATACTGCTGTAAGGAGAACTGAAGTATTAAAACACACAACAACATGAATAAAACTAAAAACCATAAAAAACCCCCAAAAAACTAGGCTAGGTGAAATGTCATTTACACAGCACTCTAAACTATATGATTCCATTTATATGAAATATCTAGAGAGAATAACCTTTAGAGAAAGAAAACAAATTGGTGTTAGATTAGGGCTAAGTGGTCATGTGAGACCACTTCTGGGTCACTGTAGTTTCTTTTATGTTGACAAAAATGTTCTAAAATTATGTAATGGTGATGGCTTCATGATTCATTAAACATTCTTAAATCTATTTGGATTTTATACCATAAACAGGTGGGTTTTATGCTATCAAAATTAAATCTCATTTTCAAGTGTGTTATAGCAAGTATAATAATAAAAAGTAATTTCTCAGCAAGAAAATAGTCATATCCTGAGATATTTTAGATATTTAGTTAAAATATTTTATATTATTTTATTTATTCTTCCTTTCTACTAATAATTCATTATGTCAATTTTTTAAGAAATGCATTGTTTATATTATCTATATCAGTTTAAATGCATTTTAGTTTAGAAAATTGTTTTACTAACTGGTTATTCATTAGATATATGGGGTTCAAATACAATTTTAAAATAACTGATAAAAAATAAAAGATTTCAGATTGGTTAAATGATTTATATTCTTTCAAAATTAGTCTCTTATGAAAAGGATGAAACTCACACTCACTACTGACAAAAGAAGCTATCTATAAATACCACCTAGTGGAAAATATTGTTATACTCACAAAGGATTATTAATTACTGTCTTCAGTGCATTCAGCAAGTCTATACTTGACATTGTGTTGAAGTCCACTCTGGCGGCTGCACCCTTGACCTTCATGTGAGCAATGTTATCAGGTTGATCTGAAAACAAAGGAATGCCCACCATAGGGATCCCATGGTAGATCACCTCGTAGATGCCATTGGCTTCACCATGAGTTATAAAAGCTCTGGTTTTTGGATGACCTGGGATTGAATGAATTTTATCCAAATTATTCATAGGAATAAAATGAGATAGATGCACAGTGAAAGGCTCTGAAAGTGATGGTGTTTTCTGGATAACACATTGAACTAATTTGATATTACTTTTCAGAGTTCAGAGGAAAAAGAGGTACTTGTGCTAGATATATACGTGAAGACTATATGGTTTGTGTAACTTCAGACTGCAAAAATTAATACAAGATTTCCCATTGGACTAATTAAAAAGTTCATTCTGGTTTTAAAAAAAATGTGCAAAAAAGAACAAAACCAAAGAGATTGGCATGACATAAAGTGCTATTTTAAGTGTAGTCACAAAGTGTGATTTGTGGAGTGTGCAAGGCAGCAGGCAGTTGGTTGGTGGTGGTACTAGGATTGAGAAAAGATAGATCACACTTCATTGTAAAATGTCTCATCATTTTATGATTAAGATTAGGAATTTAATCCTCCAGAAAATGCAGAGTCACTGGTGATAGAGGAGCTATTATGTAGCATTTGAAATAACCCTGGAGAAAAGGGAAAAACAGGTGTAAAGTTGTAGAAACAAGAGACAAAGAGACAGCCCAGAAAGTATTGAAAATTCTGTGAGATATAATAACACCTGAAATAAAGATTCCCTCTGATTCTGATCATAAAGGATGTGAATGTACATCATAAAATGACAATATTTTAGAGTATTCTTCCCCCCTTGGACTGGAAAATAAATATAAAGAAGTTACGTTTGGTTTTTCCATAACAGATATTCAATAATCTTGTTTCACATGAAATATTAACACTCTAATGTGCTGTTACTAATATATCCAGTATTAGTATTTGTTCACCAGAGTTTTGTATTGTTCACCAAAGTCACCAGGATTGTCTTCTCAGAGTCTTCCCTAAAAGGTCATTCTGGAGTATTCACTTGTACAGCCGAGTATTGAGACCTAATGCATCTGGTTTATTCCCATCAAATCTCCACAGAACCTGTTACAGTAAAGAAAATATCTTATTCCATGAGAGGAACTCAAAAGGTGTAGAATGTTAGAACTGTAAAAAGAGTAGGAATGAGATCAAGGGATGCTACTAAATAACAACTACTCAAAGAGTGATGTAAATAGAGTACTCATACTTCATTTCTTAACTTTTATAATTAGTTAGGCATATAAGGAAATCATGACTTTCCAAAATAATACCATAGACAAATGATATTATCATTGAAAAGTTCAAATATTTTAAAAACTGTTACATTTTTTAAAAGAAGACCTATGTGCAGCCAACCATCATATGACAAAAAAGCTTAACATCACAGATCATTAGAGAAAGCAAATCAAAACCATAATGAGATAGCATCTTACACCAGTCAGAATGGCTACTATTAAAAACAAAAAATATGATGCTGGTGAGGTTGTATAGAAAAGGAATGCTTATACTCTGTTGGTTGGAGTGTAAGTTAGTTCAATCATTGTGGAAGACAGTATGGTGATTCTTCAGGAACCTAGAGGCAAAAATACCATGAAACCCAGATTCCCATTCCTGCGTATATGACCAAAGGACTTTAAAGTGTTTTTTTTATAAAGACCTATGAACACGTATGTTAATTGCAGTACTATTCACAATAGCAAGGACATGGAATCAACATAAATGCCCATCACATATGGATTGAATAAACAAAATATGGTACATATACACTACAGTATATTATGCTGCCATAAAAAAAAACAAAATTATATATTTGCAGGGAAATGGATAGAGTTGGAGGCCATTATTCTTAGCAAACTAACTTCGGAATGGAAATCCAAATATGGCATGTTCTTACCTATAAATGGAAGCTAAAAGATGAGAACATGTGAACACATAGATGGGAACAATATACCGTCTATTAGAGGGTGGAGGGTAGGAGGACAGAGAGGATTAGGAAAAATAATTTACGGATATTTTAGTCTTAGTATCTGGGTGATGAAACAATCGGTACAACAAACTCTCATCACACAAGTTTACCTATGTAAAAAACCTGCATATGTACCCCTGAACTTAAAATAGAAGTTAAAAGTAAAAGTTAAATTAATTTATTTAAAAAAACTAAAAATCTAAAAAATGTATAAAAATATAGGCAGTCATTATAATTCTAGTGTAAAAAAAGTAACAATTTAGTAATGACCTACAGTTTTGTTTTATGTATTTTATATTAGTTTTCATCTTCCAAATTTAATTTTAATGTATTTATTTCTTTTTGAGTAATCTGGAAAGTAGTTCACATCTATCTGCTTGTCTATAGGTTCTTATATTAGAGCCTGTTGTCCTTTGATCAACAAAATAGCAGGTTCATAAAATAAGCAACTTACAATAAACAAATTAATGCTGCAAAGGTAGTACATGTGACTTCATTGGAATTACAGATTATCAAGCACTACTTCCAAGAAAAATTTCAAGTGACAATTTTTGACACAAATTCAGAGTATTTCAGTAATGCTGATTTGGATTTTTTTTTTTTTTTTTTTTTTTTTTTTTGCACAGAAATGCGGAACCTGTTGGTATCATGAATAAAAATACAACTGCTGAATGAACTCAAAGTTGTATTTTGCTGAATTTGGTCAACTGATTATTAACACTTAGACAATGTGCTACAAAGCTTTGACAACGGTGATTAATATGATCTGCTACAGTAAAGACATTTTTATGTTTAAATTGCTAATTTTGAAACTCCCAAGCAATTCTCAAACTGAAAAATAATTTACAGTGTTTACTATTTGCTGCATCAGAAATATTTATTAATACACTTAAAAAGTTTGCTCCTTGTGTTGGAGTAAAATACATTAGCAACATCTCCCAGACACCATCTTTATAAAAGTAAAACTCCTAGATCCTGAAATGTACAATAGTAGAGTCTAGAATTTACACTTTTAATCACAGGATTGGAATTAATTCTCCTTACTACCCTACTCGCCAAACGTTGCAGTTATTATTCCTAAATTAATGACATTCAATCATGTTATACTATCACAGATCCTTAAATAGAATTTATACTGCATAATCACTAACAGAGCCAGTCTTCTCTATTTTTTGTCACATATTTTATATAAGCATGTGACTTAAAGAACAAATAGGAATATGACATCCCATAATTGTAAACACTCACCAAGAGCTTCCTGAGTACAATGAGTAATAGAGGTGGCCGAAGAGTCAGTCAAATATTCTTCACTCAGATACTGCTGGGGTAGGTAAACTGTTTTGAAGGCAAATTATCATAAGTCTTACTTGTATTTCTACAAGGACACAGTTCTGGATATATATTTTCATACTATAAGGACACATGTACACGAATGTTCATTGCAGCACTTTACAATAGCAAAGACCTGGAATCAACCCAAATGCCCATTGATAATAGACTGGATTGGAAAAATGTGGCACATATACACCATGGAATATTATGCAGCAATCAGAAATGATGAGTTCGTGTCGTTTGTAGGGACATGGATGAATCTGGAGAACATCATCCTCAGCAAACTGACACAAGAACAGAAAATGAAACACCGCATATTCTCACTTATAGGTGGGTGATGAAAAATGAGAACACATGGACACAGGGAGGGGAGTACTAAACACTGGGATCTACTGGGGGGAAAAGGGGAGGGCCAGTGGGAGGGGGAGGTGGGGAGGGATAGCCTGGGGATAAATGCCAAATGTGGGTGAAGGGGAGAAAGGAAGCAAATAGCACTGCCATATGTGTACCTATGCAACTGTCTTGCATGTTCTCCACATGTACCCCAAAACCTAAAATGCAATAAAAAATTAAAAAAGATAATAAAAAATTAAATAAATGATTTCCAATTCTTTAGTGAAGAAGTATAGTAACATTAGAAACTTTAAATTGCCCTTATTGATTTTTGCTTCTGAGATACAGACATTTCTGTATGTCAACTTATTTTTCTCAACTCTGAAGGAAACCTTCTGGTAACATGGGAACATCTTTAAATTTCTAAATTAGAAAACTGAGGTTTATAAGAAGAAATAATTTCTGCAGTTATATAGATAGTTGTAGAAAAATGTGTAACTATTCATTCTAAATCTGTGCATTCAGTGTTACTTGATGGATTTTACTAAGATGTAAAACAGTGTATAGTAAAACAGATGTGTAATTGCTTAAAGTCTTAGGTGAACTAGTGTATAGGTTTATGATTTCCTGGAGTGCTCTGTATGGGTGATGACCACAGGGTTTTAACTTATTCTATAACTTAAACTTTTCAATAATATTTGTGAAATTGATAGATCATCCTGTATTTTCATTTCATAAATTCACTTACCAAAAACCCCACTACCCTGATTTTATGGCTTTTCATAAGCTCTGCTTCAAAGACACAAATAAGTTAGATCTTAATGATACCAAATGGAAAAATTACTTACCTAGAACGTCACTGTAAATATGATCCCACTTCTTCATATCAAAGAGTTGGAACCAAAAGTCAAGAAAAAGCATAGATCATATTTTTTACCCTCTCCATGAAAGTCATTTGATCACTTAATTCTGATGTAACAAGGTACGTAGGAAGGAGGAAATGGAAATCCTCCACTATGCTTTTCCATAGTTTAACCAGGAGAGAAGCAGAGACTGTACACAAAGGGTATGTTTAGTAGCTCAGCCAGCAGCTCACCACTGGGAAAAATAACATCTGCAAAAACGACGTCAAATCTTGACTCTTGTAATTTTTTCATAAATTTCTTATTTGAGACTAAATCTTTACAGATATTTCTAATTATGTCACTAAACATCCACATCATTTCTTGTACTTGTGAAAAATCTGACCAAAATGTATCTTTTGGAAGGTCTGACCATCTCTTAACCTGTTACATGATGATATTGTCCATCTCAGTTTTAGTTAAAGATGTAGGAAAAACTTCAAGTTTAAGAGTGGATGAGTTGTTGGGATCAAAAGAATGGAAGCTGAAGATGCCAGTACAGCCACCTTATGACCTCTCTGATCAAGCTCATTCAGGACGATCTTCATATTCAC